ACTGGGAGGGGGCTTTTCCAGCAGAGGAAACCGGGTTCTTTTACTATGCAACGTCTCCAGAAAAGACCGCTCAGAATGAAGCCCTGAGAATCGCTTTCCTTGCTGCTTCACAAGGCATTCCTCAGGCCAGTGTGCTCCCCGGGCCTTTCTGGGTGCTCGGGGCGGAGGGGGTGGGATCAGACTCCGCACTCCACTGCCCCTGAGAAAAACCTGGAAGACCCAGCCTGAAGGGATGAAGCGTTCTTAGTGAATCGAGGTCTGTAGGGTTCCAGGTTATATAATTAACACCTGGGCAACATCTTTCTCTGCTGACGCAACCAGGACGGCCGCTGTCCCAGGGATGGGTTTTAACAGCGCTACAGGATGGGCACCTTCCTGCCTTTCTGGAGCATCCCTCCCGCCCTGAATCCTGTGTTTCACACCCTCAGGATTGCTTGCTGTTTCTAATTCTGTGCCTCCCTGCCTTCCTCCCTGTTACTCCTTGTCTCTCTGATACAGCTTTCCTTCACATTCACTTGGCCAAAACCACTTTTATCTCTCAGGACCAATGTCATTTGCTGCAAATCTTTCCCCTGATTTCACAAGCAGGACACCTTCTTTGTGTCTAAGGCACTCTCACTGGAATTTTTTGTATTCCACGCCAACCGGAAACAGGAACATGGCTGTACAAGAAAATAATAAAAACTTAGGTTTTTTGAACTTGCTTCAGCAAAGAAATGCACCAGAGGACACATGAGTCTCCTCCAGACAGCAGTGTAATAGAAGGTTCTCCAAGGGGTCTGGGCTGGAGTTAGCCATAGATGGTCTTGGCAAGGATGGGTCAGAGTTTGTAACCAGAAGAGTCTCTGGAGGGGTCAGTGGTTTTGTCTTGGAGCATGTGCTCTGCACAAGCAGAGCCACATGTTGAACGCCACAGTTTAGTCCTGTTTTTTTGTCCAGGTGTCGTAAGAAGCTAAACTAGCACTAACCTTTTAAGTTAGTGCTAGTTGTGGTTCTTTCTCAGAACCCCCCACCCCCCATACCTTCCAGGAGAGCTGCCATCCCATTCCTGGCAAGGGGGGATGGGGCCACCTGGTTGGTTAGATCAGGTTCCTCAACCTCTGCACTGTTGACAGTTTGAGCCAGATAATTCTTTGGAGAGAAGAGAGAAGAGAATGTCCTGCACATTGTAGGTTGTTGAGCAGCAGCCCACCTACTCATGGCTGCACCCTGAGCCTGGGGCTGAGGCCCACTTCCAGCGGTGCTGCCTTCCCAGTTGCTTGCTCTTAAGTCATTTGGGCCAGGAGGACCTTCCCAGCGTTTAGACGCCAGTCAGTCTCTTGAGGCCTTCAGTGTCAGCAGCTGGACCCAAAGGCATAACATAAGGGTGAAAATAAACATGTTTGCCAGGCAGCAGTGACAAATGCCCTGCGGGTTGCTGATTGCAATGCCACCACTCCTTAAGACGAGTTCTTAACTTTAGCTGCACATTAGATCATCTGGGAATCTTTGAAATATACCGATGCAGAAGACAGAGATGCTGGTGCAGTGCCCAGGTTGGGAACTTCCCCTGGAGTAGGGCATGGCAACCCACTCCAGTATCCCATGGACAGAGAAGCCTGGAGGGCTACAGTCTATAGGGTCACAAAGAGTGGGACACGACTGAAGCGACTTAGCATGCACACATACTTAACATTGTACTGGGAGGGAATAAACAATACAAAGTAGTATGTAAACAACCTCAGTAACACAGGAAATGCTTGAGTGAAACGGATGTTGGAATTCAGAACCTTTCACATGTAAGGAACATTTTGCATGACTTTCTATTCCTGTAATGGCAGATTAGGTAATAAACTCATACCCACAGTGGGGACAAGGATGAAACCAACTAGCCCAGCATGGTGATCAGGATCCAGGAATGACAGAGGCCCGGGAAGATGAGCCCAGGGCTGGGTGCCACTTTTTCCCCAAGTGCATTCACAGGTCTAGAGGAGGAGATTGAGAGGCCAGCCAGTTCAGAGACCCAGCTATAGTACTCCTGAGTCCTGGGAGGTCAGCAGTGGTTGCCATGGCACTCATTTGCTTGCTTTCCTGTTTCACACCCTTATCCCTCACACTTGATCCTGGAATCACATTCCTAAGTAAGTCACATACAAGTCTTTATCGCGCTCCTTCAGGGCAGGTGAGACCAAGGCAGGAAGAGAGATGAGAATGTGAGAAATTGCAACATGAGACGTCTGTGTCCTCAGAAAAGAAGAGAGAATAACAAAAATGTCTGTGTCCTCAGAAAAGAAGAGAGAATAACAAAAACTATTTAAAGATACAATAAATGAGGTATTTCCAAAACTGATTCAGGTGGACATCAACCCGCAGATTCAAGAAGTTCTGTGGAGACCAAGCAGGATAAATAGGTTTTATTTGTGAAATGAAATACTGTGAAACCAAACACAACTGGTGTTCACAGACCAGAAAGGATTTGTTTGCTTGGTTTCACCCTGTTATGCAGCAGAATTCCCAAACAATGATGAAGGGAAAACCTCTAACTTGGGTTAGAGGTCAGCACCCTGCCTCCTCCCACCAAAGTCACCGCCTCCAGGAAGGCTTCTGGTGGACCTGCACCTGCCTCAGCTCTCCCCATCCCAGATGGCATTTCAAAGGCCAACAAGATGCCTTCAAAATTATAAAAGTTAAATACTGATGCTCCTCTAAGCTCTCTCAGGAGGGATCTGAGCATGGAGGTCAAGGGTGGAGTCAGACAGGCTCCATCCAAACCCAACTCCACCACCTTCCCACCTCCTCTGCCAAGTGGGGACAAGTGTCTATTCAGGAGGCGCTGTGAGGGTGAAGTGGGCTGAGTCGAGCACCTGGCAGGGCCTCCCTCAGCAGCAGAAGTGGTTTTGTTTTTAACTCATATTTATTTTTGGCCATGCTGGGTCTTCACTGCTACTCTCTGGCTTTCTCTAGTTGCAGCAAGATGGGGCTACTCTTGGTTGCAGTGCGCTGGCCTCTTGCAGGGCACGGGCTCTAGGTGCTTCACTGGATGTGTGTGGTGGTGGCATGTGGGCTTAGTTGCTCCACAGCATATGGAATCTTCCTGGGCCAGGGATCAAACCCGTGTCCCCTGCAATGGCAGGCAGAGTCTCTCAACCACTGGACCACCAGGCAAGCCCTGTGGAAGCATTTCTGTAATGACATTGGGTATCTTGAGGACTGGAGGTGAGGGCGAGTCAGTCTGGGAGGACTTGAGTTAATTGCACTCGAGTCAGGCGGAGGCAGTGGGGTGAGAATCGACACGACCACTCCTGCTCCGCAAGTGCAGCCACCGTGGGTGACCCGGGACCAGCACATGTGTCCTGGTGTGCCTGCGTCACCTCGGGATCTGCCGTTAGGTCGGTGCCGTGCCGTCACAGCACAGTGGTCTCTGTCCTGCCCGTCTCTGCTCTGCCTCCACGCCATCAGTCATCCATCTCTGCTCTGCTCTCTGCTGCCGGTGGCTCCAAGTCGGGTCTTTGTCAGTCTAGATAGAAGAGGTAACGCAGGGAGCGAAGCTTGGGGCTGAGCTGGGCAGGACAGTGTGCCCCACTCCGTCCCAGGCAGGCCCCGCTGGAGCTCTCTCTGAGTCCTCTTAGAGGCCATACGCATCACACAGCCAAGGACTGTGACGCCAGCGTTGCCGAAACTTGGCGTATTTCCCAGCGCCAAGTAGAAACACGGAGACTGTGTTTTGGGTGAAGTAGAAAAGAGTAGCTTTATTGCTTTGCCAGGCAAAGCAGGGCAGAGTGGACTAATGCCTTCAAGACCAGGTGACTGCCCTCCCCCGGAGGGAGTAGGGAGGCATTTATAGTATTCAGAGGGCAGGGCAGGATCAGCTCATGGAGAGTTAGGTTGGTTGACATCAAGGTGGAGTTTCAAGTATCATCAGCCTTCTGGTTTCAACCAGTCTAGGGTCTGTGTTCTTGGGATCTGCAGTTTTCATGCAGAGGGGATCTACTGCCTGTAAAAACAACTTAGGAATGTGTGTCAGACATTTATCTTTCAGGGAACTGAGAATTTGGTAGTTCTGCCATCACAGCTCCCTGGCCCAAGAGCTATTCTTTGCTTCTACATATTCACATTTCCCAATCGTTAACTCTTGAATCAGCCTTTTACTTCAAAAGACAAGGACACAGAGGCTTGTACATGGTTTCCCTGGGAATGACGGTCACAAGCCCCCAGGAGACCAAGATCAGGGTGGCTTCACCGGAAGGGGATGCTGGGCAACTGGACTTGTTAAAAGTCGGCCTGTAACCCTCTCCCACTGCCCTGCCTGGGGCCAGACTGCTGTGGCTGGGACTTCCCAGGCAGCCAGAGGTAGATCCAGGTCTTTCCCTGGTGAGCCACCTTCGTAAATTCAGCATCCTCCCAGCCTCCTCCCCGCGCCCGGGGCTCAGGAGGGACACTGTCCCTGGGCCACCGGGCTCCAGCTCTGAGAAGCATTTCTCATCCCCACCTCTCAGGGCGCCCATTCGACGTGCCTTTCTCTGAAGCCTGCCTCTCATCCACCGAAGGAAACAACTCCTATCCATCTCTTGGCGGCAGGGGGATGGGGGGCTGCTGGGGCGGGTGGCGCTGCCTGGGTGGACTTCTGCCCCCTTGAGCTCTGTGCTCTAGATCAGCCCCCACAGCTGACAAGGGGTCTGTGTTATCCAGCCTGGTAGCTCCCAGCCATGTGGCACCTGAGCATTACTGGCTGGCGCCACCAAGGAGCTACATTTTTAGTTTTGTTTTGTTTTTTTAACATATCTAACTAGACACGTGTAACTAGTGATTGGCCAGCACCAGTGGTCTAGAGACACATTAACCAAATAACAGCCTAAGATAGGTGAGCTTCCTGGAGTTGTACTTCCTCCAAGAAGACAGTGAATTTTTGAAGTTTTCTCTTTTGAGTGAATGGGTCTCTTCCAGTTTTGTTCCAAGAATTATATTCAGCAACCAAGAATAGCAATTTTTTTTTTAATCAGAAAATGTCACCACAAAAAGAAGAGAATGAACAAAGTAAAGCTTTATTTGAATGGCTCTGCAGATCATTTTGAGGCCCTGGTCACTGTCCCAGTTTTATAGCGAAGTCATTTCCTAAGTAGTGCCCTGACCATAATGAACTAAGCCCATCGAAATGCTACAAGTGCAGGTGTGTGGTTCTGTTAGCGCCGTGCACTACAGCCAAGGCCACCCATCCTCGCCTGGCCACCCAGCACGGCCACAGCAGGTGTTAAGCAACCCGATGCCCTGCTAACACCTGCAGGGCACCACCCACTGTGGGGCTCAGGGCCAGGTGGGGGCAGCCTTCCCTGTTCTCTGGGACCCAGCTCAGCAGGCCATCCTCCCCTTGATCCACAAGTGGACCCTCGTGTACTTGGCTATAAATAGACCCTTTGCAGTCTACCAGTCCACATCATTTTGTTAAGTCCAGAGGACTCAAGGCACATTGACAAAGAGAAAGACTGGCTCAGAGCAGGGAGGTAGGGCGGTTTGCGGGGACCCAGTTTCAGCTGCATTAGTGAGTCCCCAGCTTCCCTGAAGAGCCCCAAGAGTGGAGCACACCAACCAGCGGCTAAGAGGATCCCAGGCCAGGGGAGGGGAATCATCTCAGACCACAGCCTGCACAAACACATGCGACCAGAGCCCATCCCCACAGGTGCTTCTAGCAGCTAGGTTTCATCACACACAACCCAAGAGAAGTGGAAACACACCAAAAATAGATGCTGTGGGCTTGAGAGGTTTCAAGATAGCCGTGTTAAGACAGAGGCACAAACATTTCCAACTTAACATTTCCAACAGGCCAAACAGTAACCCAAAGTGCACCCTCCAGCCCGCCACGCTTCCCCACGAGCGGAGGCAAAAAAGGAGCTTTTCATAACTGTTAAGAAGAGTGTGTACAAGTAAAGCACACACAGCACGTGTGTGGGCACCATGTTTCTTCTAAAATATAAAAGTATAAAAATAAAATCTTCACCTTTTGTTTCTAGAAACATCTGGAGGAAATATGACTGCTGTTTGCTCCCAGTCCACCTGAGCAGACACAGGGGCTCCACCTTCCTGTGATGTCAGGAGGGCAGGGGAATGGACTTTTCACCAGGAAACCAGATTCGGGACAAGTGGGAGGAAGCTCGCCCTGGGCAAGGACCTGTCATGGGTCCCTGGGAGGGGAGGCAGGGACTTCAGGCTTCACGAGGAGGGCAGCCTGGGTTCTGCTGGGGCATTTAGGAACAAGCCAACCCAGGAGCTGTGTTCTAGGAACACACAGGGGCCTGGCTCGGGGTCTCAGCAGAGCCATCACTTGGCACCCCCCAGCTTGTCTTTGTATTCCTGGTAGGCGCTCAGGATCTCCGTGATGACGCCGGGGTCCTCCAGGGTGGTGGTGTCCCCCAGGTCCTGAGCTCGGCCCGTGACGATCTTCCTCAGGAGCCTCCGCATGACTTTTCCAGACCGAGTTTTTGGAAGACGCTTCACTACCTGGCAGGGAAGGCGCAGCATTAGCGTTTGGGTGGTGCTCAGACACCCAGCCGGTGCCCAGCTGTACTGAGATGAGGGTGTCCTGGAGGAAGACACCCCTCCCCAGGGACCCAATAGGAATGGCTGAGGTGCAGCACCGCCCAGAGAGCGGCAGGGCTGTGGCCTCTGGTGTTGTTCTCCAAGCGTGCATCCTAAGTCACTTCAGTCGTGTTCGACTCTTTGCGACCCCATAGCCCACCAGGTTCCTCTGTCCATGGGATTCTCCAGGCAAGAATATTGGAGGGGGTTGCTGTGCCCTTCTCCAGGGAATCTTCCTGACTTGGGAATTGAACCTGCATCTTTTACATCTCCTGCATTGGCACGTGGGTTCTTTATCACTAGCTCCACCTGAGAAGCCCTTGTTCTCCTCCATCTGGACCTAAAGCTGAAATCATCCATTGCCAGGGGGTCAGCTGAACCTCCACTGTGGAGGCTGTACCTGTACCTGGTGGAGCTCACTGCCAACACCCATTTCTCCCGCCAGTTAAGCTAGGAGGGCTCTCAGGTGATAGCAGAACCAGGAGTTCGAGGGGCACCTCGTCTCCTCCCCTGGCTGGGACCATAGTTGGCTTTTTTAACATGAGAAGTAGGAGCTGCTTGAGAGGAAAATGTCGTCTTGCTCAGTGTTTGAAACTTAGTGTTTGGCATTATCCAACCACAGGCATTCAATGTCAAGGCAATACATGAAGGGCTGCATTTAGGGCCTATAACAGTGGCCAGTCCTTAGAAAGAAACTTGTTCACCGACGGGGAGTTCAGGTGAAGCCCTGGTCACCAGGCCAACAGTGTGAATCGTACGGCACCAAGTGAGGCTGGGCCCTCCTGTCGCAGAGGCCTAACTCCCAGCAAAAGAAGGTTGTGGGCTGGTGTTGAATGAAGGATTGAAAAGTCAGAGGGGCTGAGAAGGTGGCCCAGTCCTTCCCCAAAACCCACCCTAGGAAAGGCTCCCAGGCAGACTCGGTCAGCATCTCCCTACCAGCCCAGGGACCTCTGGTTCAGACCCAGGCCTCCCTGTTTACAATCCCTGACTCTCTGCAGCCCAGCCAGGCCTAAGTGCCCAGGCGCTGTCCACACTGATACTATGTCTCCTCCCCCACTCCAAGGATGTAGCAGCCACCCCCTCGCCCACCTCCTGCTGCCACCCTGTCAATGGTGGGAAGCAGAAAGGAGGCTGAATAGCAGCAGCTCGGTGGCCCATGAGGAGCATCCACTCACCAGGACCTGATCGGGCACTGCGTACTTGGCGATCTTGTCGGCCACCACCGACCGGAGCTCCTTCACCACCACGTCCACATCACCCGCGTCATCTTTCAACACAACGAAGGCGAAGGCGGCTGGAAGAAGAGCAGAGAGGTTCAGACCACGAACCACCTCCCAGGGCAGCGTGTTTCACACAATCGCCATTAAGTCCAAAGGGGTTTTAGATCAGAGGCTGGTGCACCCATGGCAACTGGTCCTTGTAGCTGCCCCCATGAAGGTGCATTTCCATTTTCATTCAAGGTGGAAGTGATTCCAGTGGCGGCTCTGAGTGCCCTGGGGTGGCGGACATGTGTGGAGAGACAGACCCTGGAGCCATGACTTACCTCTGTCCTTACGCCTGTAACACAGCCGTGACATAGGCTGTCAGAGACTCACTTTCCACCATGTGTGCCGGGCGAGGAATCACTCCCTGGGTACTAGTCTGTGGACCTGTGTCCAGCCTGTGGGCACCAGACCCATAGCTGTTTAAATGCAACTTCAGTGTAAAATGCAGCTGGGAGCCACTGTGCAGACAGCACAGATGAATGGCTTGGTCAGCAGGAAGCTCTACTGGGCTGTGCTGGTCAACCAATAGTTTAGCATAAACACCAGGTTTTGTTTTCAGTACTCCAGCGAGGATCAGAGGGGCTCCCGGGGGTCTCCTTAACTACAATGTCACATACAGACCCAACTCCTTTTCTGTCCATGTGAGCGGTCACTGTCCCAGCATCACTTTGGACAGTCTGACCTGCACTGCCCCCTCCCACCACAGCTCCCTTCACATGCAGCCTCCATATTGCTCGCTGGCCTGCCTGTGCCTGCCCCAAGCCCACCCCTTGATCAAGGTGCCACGAACCCCACTGAGCCAATCCAGCTGCCTCTCCCCTCTCCCCAGTCCCCTCCAGCACGCGAGCCCACAGGACAGGGACTTAGGTCGTTCACTAGGTCTGCATCCTAATCACACAAGACCTGGGGGGCTTCCCTCCATCAGGTCAAGTGCAGAGAGAGTGGGGAAAAATACACACCCACAGTTTTTGTTGTTCATGTTTTACAAGTGGACAAATGCTCAAATGTGTTAGAAATCAGGAAAATGCACATAACCATAGCCGATACACAAATTCTCTCCCAAAGCCTGGCAGGAGGCAGGGGAGGCTGGTAGAACGTGGCATGGCCCAAGGGCCCTGAGACACACACGCAAGGACTTGTCCTGTCTCATCTCCTCAACCCGACACCCCCAACCTTGAGTCTTAGCCAGTTGACAAGGGCGACAGTGTCATGGGTGTGTCCTTCCATGGTAACTGAAAACCCTTTTTTAAAGCACTTAATAAGTGTTGAGTTTTCCTAAAGGCTGGCTTAGAGACACTAAGTAACTAATAGAACAGCACGCAGACATGGCCGGGAGGCTGGAGACACTGGAACCCCAGGAGGAAGTGTGCCTGGGCTGCTCCAGGCAGAGAGCTCTGTCTGTCCTGAAGAGCAACACGGACAGTCGGTCAGGCCAGGCCAGTGTGGCCAATGCCTGCCTGGCATCACAGCGCTCAGATGAGCCTGCTCCTTCCCAGACCCACCTCTTAGAAAGCGGCAGGCTTTGAAACAAAGTATGTCAGTGAGGATCAGTCCAGTCACCAGCTCTGCACTTCCCTGGCCCATCTCTGTGCGGGGGAACCCAGGTTAGACTCCCCGAGAGAGAGTCCGGGCCCTCGAGGCGTGCAACGTGCGGGCAGCGAGGGGCACGTGTACACATATCCCTAGCAGGGTGGCCAGGGGGGCCTGTGGACCGGGAGGAAGCTCCCCCCTCGGCTGGCCAACAGGTCAGGACTGCTCGCCGCGAGTGAGTGTCCCCCAAAGACTGCGGAGCTGCGGCGCTGCAGAATCCAGACTTTTTTCTACCATTGGTGCTGTTCCGCCCCCTTCCCCAAACCCCTGCTTGAGGGAGGGGTGAGCCAGCAGCCTGACCCCAGGGAAAGCCCTGGCCCCGCCCACGAGTCCGCGCCTCCTAGAGGCCCCGCCCCCAGGGCCAGAGGGTGGGTGACGCACCTTCTCCCTTGATGTCGTGCGGATAGCCAATGACAGCAGTCTCGGGCACCGCGGGGTGGTCAGCCTGGGCAGGACAGAACACGCAGAAGTGAGGCACTGACTCGGACTCAGCCCCCAGACCAGCGGCGGCCGTGCTCACCATGGCGTCCTCGATCTCCGCGGTCCCCAGCCGGTGGCCGCTGATGTTGATAACGTCGTCCATGCGCCCAGTAATCTCGTAGTAGCCCTTCTCTGTTCGGTAAGCCCCGTCTCCCGTGAAGTAGTAGCCTGCACCACAGCGCGGGAGTCGGCCCCAGCTCCCAACCAGGACCGGTAGGGCTCCCGTCATTCCACGAGGGACCCCCTGAACGGGAGGAAGTGCTGAACCCCCCCGCAACAGACGGCCGCCCGGAGACACCCCCCAGGTGCTGCCTGGCTGGTGCCAGTCAAGGGCAGAGCGGCTCCCAGACGGCTGGAGGCTGAACCTGGAAGCAGGAGCTGCAAGGAGCCCATTCCAGCTTGCCACTGCTGGGCATCAGTTCCCACGGGCACACATGTTTGCGAACATCCGCGCAACCACATTACACAAGTCAGAAGGACAATAACAGAGGGACAGGGAAGGCCTGGGGCCACCACCGTCATTGCCAGGGTGGCATCCTTGTGCTTCTCCTGGGAGCCCACAGCCTGAGCCCCCAAGAGGACCGCAAGTGGGGCCACTTCCGGCTCAGAGGGAAGGAAAACAGGGACAGTTCACATAACCCCCAGCCCCTCGGAAACAGTTCTGAGACTGTCCAGCAGCAGCAGCAGAGAAAGGCTCACCAGGGTAGGCCTCGAAGTAGGCGTCCAGGAATCGCTGGTGGTCTCCATAGATGGTCCGGGCCATGCCCGGCCAGGCCTGGGACAGGCACAGAGCCCCAGACACATCTCCGCCCTCCAGGATGTTTCCCTGAAGACCCAGGAGACAGGGAGACAGAAGGAGTGACCATCTCCTGTTCTCCAAAATGCCGGGCCCAAGGTAGTAACAGGACAGGCACCCCAGAGGGGCTTTCCCCTTTAAGAGGAGACCCTGCGGTGGGAGCCTCGTGAGGGGGAGAGGGCAGCGGAGGCCAGGGAGGCAGGACAAGCAGTGGGACTAGGCAGGGCGCGTGGACGGGGTGATTCACCTTCTCATCCATGAGAACGGGAACAATGCCGAACAGGGGCCTCATGGCCATGCAGGGCAGGATCTCTGCCCCCTCCTCCGAGGGCCGCGGAGAGATGCAGATGCCCCCCGTTTCTGCAGGGGGTAAGAAGAAACGCTGGTGGGCCTGGGGCTACTGACACGTGCATCCAGACCACATGGGCACTGGGTCGGCACACAAGGGTGCACTCCAGAGAGGGGGGGAGCACCTGCCATTGGGGCAAGGAAATGGCCCTGGTGACAAAAGGACCTCTGTCTGAGGAGAAACCAGGCTGGAGTGCTGGTCCTTCCACTGTGGAAACCAGGGCACACCAGGGGCAGCCCCAGGAGTTGAGGGCCCTACCTGTGTCATGGGGACATGGGGACAGCAGAAACGAGGACGGAGGGAAGGAAGTGCTCAGGGCAAGGACCCCAGACCGGGAGAAGAGCAGCCCCGGGTTCTGTCCCTGGGCATTTCTCTGGATCCATCAGCCTGCAGGGAAGGCCCACCAGGGCTCTGCTGCAGGGAACAACCAGGGCCTTTCTGAACCACGAGGCCTACACCACTGGGAACATCTCTTTCTGGCTTCTTCAAGGATGAGACTTCAGCCACTTCAGTGGGGGTCTCTTGGCCCCCAAATCCTGATAAGGCAGACACCCCAGAGGAGAGGGGCAATTCAAAGCAAAACAATGGAAATAAAACTTCTTTTCCCACTAATATCTAATCCTAGACTCAAGGTCCTTTAAACGGCAGACCCCAGGCTGGGCTGTGCCAGGTTCAGGAGGTGGGCCGCCATGGACAGGACCCTTGTGGGCTCCTGTGTCTCCCCCTCCGCGCCCACCCAAGCCCCACCTTACAGACGAGGAAAGGAGGCCTCGGGAAGCCTTCACATCCCCGTGTCAGAGCTGCAGAGCAGCAGCCCCGAGCTCCTCTCCCCAAATGCCAGGCACCCGTGGGGCTGAGCCTCCCCCCTCGGACAGGCTCACCTGTCTGCCACCAGGTGTCTACCAGGGTGCACCGGCCGTCCCCCACCACCGTGTGCAGCCACTCCCAGGCCTCGTGATTGATCGGCTCTCCCACTGCAACCACACGAGACAGAAGTGTTAAGAGACTCAACAGGGCTGGAACCAAAGGAGCGAATTTCATGAGGAAACAGCTCTGTTAGTTGTCCTGAAAGGCACACAGGAGGAGAAAGCAGTGAGATCATCCTATTTATGGCCATTGAAGAATAAAAATGACAGTGAGATATTTTCACCATCAGAGGGTCAATAAGAGGCTGGCAAGAGTGTGGAGGAAACACCAGCACATACACCACCTGAGTACAGCTCGGGAGCGATGCAGGCATTTCTGTTCCTGTTTGTTTATGGTCATCCCAACTGGGGATCGAATCCATGCCCCTGAAGTGAAGGCTCAGAGTCCCAACTACAGGACTGCTAAGGAAGTCCCTCTCTTCCTGTTTAGAAATGACACTCCTGCTGCAACTGCTTTAGGCGTGTGCTGCTGGCAAAACCCAGTAAAGCCACACACACTCGTTCTGTGATGAGAAGGCCACTCCCAGCGCCCAGCCCCAGAAGGAGACACGGACGAGGGTGTTCCTGCAGCCTGGAGCTAAAAAGGGTCCGTGGAACAGAGAATGGCAAAGTGAATCATGGTGCTTTCCTGATGGACCATCACCAGCCAAAGCACAGAGCTGTCCCAGCACAGGAGCCGCCATGCTGGTCACCCCTCTGCCGGCATGGCCACATGTCGAAGTGCAGGGAAGTCATTCTGGCTCACATGCCATTTAACTTGGACTTAGGCTGACGACAACAGCCTGTCAAACAGACCCTATAATCTGCCTTAGTCATTAAAGAAAAGGGAAAAGGGCACACCGACCAGAAGTTTAGGAGATAGAGATAAATGCCCCCTGCCTGGGATGCCGACGCTGGGACTCCTTTGATGATAAGACTCTTCTCCCAGGGCCATGGCTGTACTGACTCTGTGTATGTGCTGATGGGCTTCTTCGGAACCTTGAAGGCATGTATCCCTGACTTGTTTGATGTACTTTTTTCTGATAAGACACAGAATTGCTAAAAACCATACTTCTCTGGAACAGCTCCTCAGAGCTATCCTCCTCAGCTTGGCTTGAATAAACTCTCTTCTATTCTTATTAGTCACTCGCCAAGAGTCAGACACGACTGAGCAACTAAACAACAATTTTTATTATACACTGGTTACTGATGATTTTCCTCGACAATACCCTGGTCTCAGAACACCCCACAGGGCCCTGCTGTTGGTACTGGTTATGCAGCTGAGCTGCCCCCTGATACAGAGGCCCGGCTAGCCTGTGAGGGCTCCCTGGAGCAGGGGGTTTCAGCACACTCCTGGTCCGAGAGAGTGGCTCTGGTCACCGGCTTTAGGGAGTGAGGCCCACAGGAGTCTGCCAGGCTTGGGGGACACACAGACCCTCAAGCAGCATCTCCCTCATTACGTGGTCCTGCTTCCTTAGCAACTCAATCCCCTAAGGGAGAACAGGCCTAAAACCTTCCCCCTCCCAGGACCACCTCAACTCAAGGTCACCTAGGTCACCTTTCCAAAATGCCCTCATGTGACCTGGAGACATGGATCCAAATTATCATACAAGTGAAGGTAAACTCTGATCTCGAAACACCATCCCTGCCTGGAGACACGCACCCAAGGGCAGAATGGCACAGATGCCAGTGCTGGGAATAGAGCGGGTAAAATCCTGGGCAGCTGCAGGAAACCAGCCCGGGCCTGACCTTCCCACACTGCTGAGTTTTCATACTGAAGACGGAGCACAGACAAGGTCGCAGTGCTGAGCTCCAGTCCCTCCACGGCTGTGGGCTCCGGGAAAGGGCTTCCAAGGAGGACATCTGCTTTCTACTGGCTGTGGCCATGTCAAGTGGACTCAGCGCAGACACGGCCATTGTGATGAAGTGTCGAGAGGCCTGCGGGGCTCTGCCACACACGCGCCTGCAGCCGCTCACCTGAGCCCAGGGTCCGCAGAGAGGAGCGGTCGTACTTCTTCACCCAGGAGTCCTCGAACTTCAGCAGCAGCCGGTAGGCCGTCGGAGCACCATAGAACTGATTGATCTTCAGCCTCTGCACCGTCTCCCAGTACCGACCTATGAGAGGCCCCAGGTCATGTTACCTCCGTGAGCTTCACTCAGAGGTGACCCACGTTACCATGTGCTGGATGTATTCAAACACCTACAGTGTCCACAAAATCCACTCTGCACCACTGCTGGAATGGGAGGGGCTCCCTGTGCACCACCTCCACACACCCCACATGGGGGATTGGAGCCATCGCCTGGCCCTAGGCACTGACAGCCCACATCCTGACCCACGTGGCACAGCAAGGAAGCGGTCAAAGGGGTGTTATGGTGAGGTAGCACCAATGCAGAACCCACGTCCAGGAGGACATAAACGGCCTCCAGAGGTGACCAGTGCTCCCTGGAGCAGTGGTTACACACACAGGCCCTATCACCCTCAACTCACTGAGGCCACCTGAGACGCGCCTTCCATCCCTACCCAGGCCCCCTGCACGTTTTCCAGGAGCATAGCTGGCCTCTGCAGGAGGCTGGAGAGGACCCAGGCAAGGGACCAAAGTTCTGGGCACGGAGCCATCATCGCCATGGACCACCTGGGCGAAAGCCTCGGCACAACTTCCAACATCTGGTCACATTTGAACAGACGCTGGAGGATGCGATGGCACGAGGGAGGGAGATGCCAGGAGAGCAAGACAGGGGTCCTCAAAAGGATGTCACTCCATGGCAGCAGCTCCAGGTCACACTGCCCAAGTGTCCCTAAGGACGGGCAGCAGGGGACCCAGGAGGCTGGCCACTGGCCTGGGCTTCGAGGAAGGGCAGGATCCGGTCAGGTGGCCACAGAGGTGAGAAGGACGTTAGAGTGGGTGGTCTCTTGAAGTCTTCAGAGGTCAGACCCTCTCCACTGCTCATATGACCCCTCTGCACACCTGGCCGGGGCCCAGCAGCTTTGTCACTGGGATCCTCCACCACTCGCCCCACACCCCCCAACCTCTGCTCCTTCTTCCGGCCCCTTCTGCAGCCCGCACCCGCATCGGGGTAAACCGGAGTGCTCTCAAAGAGGACGCTGGTCGCTCCGTTGCAGAGGGGCCCGTACACCACATAGCTGTGTCCTGTGATCCAGCCGATATCAGCCACGCAGCCGAAGACATCACCTGGCCGGTAGTCAAACACAAGCTGCAGAGACAGGGGAGGGCCTATCAGGAGCCTGGCACCCGTTCCCGCACGTCGCTGGGTGTGCTCTGTCACCAAGCCCGGCTGCTCCCACGGCCCCCGAGAGCAGCAGTAAGGGCAAAGCAGCCACGGCAGTGAGGAGACAGGTCACTGGGGACAGCAGTGGGAGCCAGACCCCAGAGGGGACACTCCGGGAGTCCAGCACAAAGCCCGCCCGTATGCCAGGAGTCACCCAGCCCTGGTCCTGAGGTGGGGCTGTGGGGGCCGGAAGTCAGGGCCGTGTCCTAACAGGTGGTAGCCACACGTGTACCCACAGGTGAACTCCATCCAGTTCTTTGTCTAAAATAAGGGCACCTCTGCCTTTAGTGGTTTAGTCGCTAAGTCATATCTGACTCTTGCGACCCCATGGACTGTAGTCCACCAGGCTCCTTTGTACTTGGAATTTCCCAAGCAAGATTACTGGAGTGGGTTGCCATTTTCTTCTACATTAAGTTACGCCATAATTTTTTTTAATCTTTTAAAAAGAGCAGAAAAACAAAAGCCAAATCGACCAAGAAACACATCAAGCATCATTAGCTCCTAAGAGCCTGAGACATGGCCGTCTCATTCTTGCAAAAGGGTCAAACCTGAGCCTGACTCAGTCTGCAGGTCCAACTGCCCGTTTGTAGGAGACAAAGAGATAGAGGGACACAGGGCCGGGTGCTATGACTGACAATGTTTAAGGTGATTAAGAGATGGAGGAAAATCCACCAGTTAAACATGGCTTACCCACAACTATCAGTGTGCGGGAGATAGTGAAGGAGTCCATGGGGTCACAAAGTTGGACACAGCTGAGTAACTGAACAACAATCAGTGGGCAACAGTAAGCTACAGTATCTAGGGATGCACGTTAGGGTGACAAAACTAGGAAAACAGGGCAGGAACACTATAAAACCCAGGATACATGTCGAGGGGCAAGGGGGGACTGTGATCAGATGGGCCATGAAGGGGCTTCTGTGTCAGGCGGAGATATTCCAGTTTTTGACTGAAGTGGGTTTGTTGAACAATCATTTGTGAAATCACACATTTCATTTCGATGGTTTTCTGTATCCGTGTTTTTGTTTTATTTATTTAGCTGGGCCGAGTGTTAGTTGTGGCACGCAGGATCTTCAGCCTTCACTGCAGGATCTTTAGCTGCAGCATATGGGATCTCGTTCCCTGACCAGGGATTGAATCTGGACCCCTTGCATTGGGAGTGTGGAGTGTGAACCGTTGGACCACCAGAGAAGTCCTTGTGTCTGTGTTCTCTTTTGTGGTAAAGGTGTTTTTTAACCTTTGGACGAGCGGTCCCATCTGCTGCTGCCACAGACACACCCTGAGGCTCCCCAGCAGTTCCCAGACAGCACAGTGGCCCCGAGTTGGCCGGGACCCTGAGGAGCTGTGAGCAGAGGCTGAGTCTCAAGGAAACAGCACTCCTGCTCCACCAGTGAAGCAGGACATCCACAGCCCAAAGCCCACAGCATCCTGGGACTGAGAGGGTTTTAATACAATGAGTACCCACTGTGCCACCTCTTTCTAGAGACTGGTGTTCTCTCTCCTTGCTGTTCTTGGAAGGAAAGCAGGTGCCCGGGACCAGCCAGGCACCCCAGCATAACCACTCACATCCCTGAAGCCTGCTTACGTCCCAAACACCCCTGCAGACCCAATTGCCCTTTCCCTGAAGAAACCAACAGTCCTAACACCTTCAGCACATGCACAGACACACACAGATGTGCACACTCACAAACACACGCTTACGTACAAAAGGCTGAAAGTTTCTATTCCTAATGTTTTAAAATGCCCTCACTGTATTGAAGAGAAATTCAAAAGATGGTCCCACCCTTGCATCCCCATTGCTTCTGTTCATGCAGACAGTGCCCTGCTAACGCTGGAAAACAAATAAAGACTATTTCACCACATTGACGGCTTCCCTAATGCTGTGTGTGTGTCAGTCATGTTCATGCTCAGTTGTGTCCGACTCTTTGTGACTCCATAGACTTGCCCACCACACTCCTCTGTCCATGAAATGCTCCAGGTAAGAATAGTGAAGTGGGTTACCATTCCCCTCTCCAGGGGGATCTTCCCAAGAATTAAACCCAGGTCTCCCGCATTCAGATTCTTTTCCATCTGAGCCACCAGGGAAGCCCTAATGCTAATTTTGTTAGCATTAGGGAAATAGGGAAACACTTTGACCCATTCTTCGACTTCCTTAGTGTTCAGTCTCAGTAGTTACATTTTCCAGTGTTCTGACTTACCCAACGTTTCAGTCTTTGCAACATGCCTACCCAGAGCTGAGCAAGGGACTTTCAGACAAGAACGGCTCTATGATGATCACAGTCACCCAGCAGCCAGAAGACAGGGGCTTTAACATGGATAGTGTCAAGCGTAATACCTTGTCTGCCTGGCCTGGTTCTAGCCATATCTGTCTTTCTGCTTCACTTCTACATCCTCAGTGCTGCCCACGAGTAGCCAACACTCACAGGCTGCATCTCTGCCTCCCATCACTGGCTCCTAGTCCACACTCATCCATAAGGTCCGCCTCCAAGTGACTGCTGTGGCTGATCAGCATAGCCCGCCCCCAACCCCGCCAGTGACTGAGAGCACAGGGCCCTGGCCCTCAGCCAGACTGTGGGTGCTCTCAGCGTCCAAGCTTTGCTTGGATGGACCTGGGCTTCCGGGTCACCTGGCCAGTCTGCTCCACTGCTGCTCATGCTGGTAGGGGCTGAGTTCTGCCTCTGGCCAGAAAAAGTCAGGTCCACAGACAGTATCCTGAGACCCCACCCCTGACCCCTTGGGAGGCGTCAGCTCCTCCCCAAGGCAACCAGGGATGCACAGTAACCAGAACCCCCCACCCACCCACTCATGTTTAAATGAGTGCTGATTTTTAAATGCATTTACTGGAATAAAGCTGTTCCAGATCATTTGCTTCATAATCCTTAAAGGATGGCCCCCTGGATGTAATCTCCATGCACTAAATTTAAGTCTCCTCATAAAAACAAATCTTTTAAAATATTTTTCCTTTTAAATTGAGGCCCCAGTAAGCAGAGCCTAGAGGCCACAGCACTTAGAGGCCCATGAAAATGTTTTACTTTCTTTTAAAATCAGACCCAAAAGATCTCTTAAAATAGAAAAAAGCATTTTAACAAATAACAGCAATGTACTCATCCTTACACCAACGCAGTCATATGGGAGAAGGGCCCGCTGGAGTGTCTGGGGCACCCGACGCCAGAAAGCAGTCGTGCCAGCAGCAGGGCAGACCCCACAAAGGCTCAGCACACATGTGATGGGCTGAGGACAAGCAGGAGACACGCGTGCAGGACCCAGGCCCTTCTGACAGGCACAGACATTCTGCCCTGCGAGCCCACCCCTGCAACCACACTGGTGCCAGGACTCCTGGCCCTGCTCTTGAACACAGCAGCAGTTGTGGCCCCCCCAGTCCAGCCTCCCCTAGCCCCTCCCCCAGATCTCCCCAGGGTGGTGCCTTACCCGGTGCGTCAGGGCAGCATACAGCAGGTAGCCCGCCTGGGTGTGGACGAGCCCCTTGGGCTTCCCAGTGCTCCCCGAGGTATAGAGCAGGAAGAGTGTGTCCTCACTGCCCATGCTCTCCGGGGCACACACTGGCTCCTCCTTGGCCATCTCCTGTGAGGGAGAGGACCAGATGGCCCATTGAGGATAGAAACTTCGCCCCCCACCCAGCCTCCCAGAGACCTCCTCTCCCCAACGGCCGCAGGACTTGGGAGACCAGGCTCAGAGTTCACCTTATCTAGCCTGCCCTAGTTAATGCCAAATAAAAGGATGGATCCAGTTATTTCATTATGTGAAGTGTTTCCCTCTGTTTGTGGACTTTTGAGTTCCTCTTCCCCACCGGGATGGAAGCCCATCAGATAACACAGAGGAAAGGGCACCTCTGAGGGACCCAGATTGAGAACCACACTCTGATAAGACCCAGTTAATCCAATGACAACCTCTTCTGCTCAAATTATACAAAAAAAGATAGACTCACCTGCTCAAGGGAAATGTCCAGATCCCCCATGTGGACCTTGTTGTCTGTCCTGTGAGCCACCAGGACATGCTGGACGGATGGGCAGACCTTTATGGCTTCGTCAACGATCTTCTTCAGCTGCACCACGCGCCCTCCCCGGAGTCCTTGGTTGAAGGTAATAACCACCTTGCACTGGGCTATCGGAGTCAAATGCAGGAATTTCTGGTCAGTTTCCTCCTCACTCTGACTCTCACAGCCCAAACCACCACACACCCTAGGCCTAAGGGTATGATGGAGGAAGTCCATCCTTGAGCAGAAGAGTCCACACAGAAACGTGAAGCTCTGTCTGCTTTGGGAACATCATGCTCAGAACCTGGGAGGAGTGGGTATAATGGAGAGGAACCACCAGAAGCTCAACTCTTCCAGATTCCCACTCCCACCTGCTCTGGGGGGACCCTCCACCACCTGCCCTCCACCCACCACACCCCAACCCAGAATAAACTGAAAGGATCAGGGCTAAGATGGGCTACTGTACAACTGGCCCCTGAGGAAGTGCCTGAAACAAACATCCAGCTGCCCTGCTGACGACCACACATGGCCCTCAACCTGTGATGTGGGCACAGAGGCCTGATTCGGAGCCATGGGCAGAGGTGCCAGGGAACCACCCCACCCAGCAGCCCTCAACTGGGTCTCTCACCCCTCGGGGGTCATGCTGCTGCATGGGGCCCCATCGCCTTGGGGATTTCCGTGCGGTCTGAGACCTGGGCACCCACGGGGGAAGCTCCCCGGCCTCACACCCCACAGACCACAGTGCCTCCCAGGACCCCCTCCCCAGTGAACTGCCTGTACTTGAACTGTCACTCCAGGACCAGCTCCTAGGGCCCTACCTGAGGCACTAGTCTCCCTCAGCTTTGCGGTCTGAGACACACTTTTGAAACGCATGCTCATAGCCTCTCTTCCTCCCAAGCAAGAACCCTGGTGATGGCACAGCCCTGCCGGCCACCTGAGACAGGTGGACAGAGCCTGTCTGAGACTCTCCAGGCTTGTCTCCCTGGGCTGGGACTGTCCAGGGAATCTTCACATTGGGCAGGAAGGGAGATGGGCCAGCAGAGGGAAAAGGACCCCCTCAACTGCATGTGAGGCAGGATGCGTAGGATCCCCTGGAGGAAAGAGCAACCCCTGCCCATCCTGGGTGCTGGGACCTCAGCCTCCGTGATGCAGGCCTTACTCCTGGTGCCCACCTGTGCGAGGCCTCCCTGCCTGAGCGGTCCTCCAGGACTGGAACCTCTAGGCCCTGGCAGGCCCAGTCCCCAGGAGGTGCTTCGGGAGCCTCCACTCCCTGAGGCCCCTGAGGACAGGCAGCAGGGCTGTGGCAAGTGCGTCAGCACAGGCAGGACCACAGACACTTTGTCTGTGGGAATTTGCTTTCACCCTAGTTTTTTTTTTTTTTTTTAACCAGATCTCAGCATCTGTATTTGTCTTTGTTTGTTTTAATATTTAGTTATTTTCGACTATGCTGGGTCCTCGTTGCTGTGTATGGGCTTTCTCTAGTTGCAGTGAGCAGAGGCTACTCTCGAGTTGCTGTGTATGGGCTTCTCATTGCGGTGGCTTCTCTTGTTGCAGAGCATGGCTCTTGAACATGAGGGATTCTCAAACTGCAGCTCGTGGGCTCAGTGGTTGTGGCACATAAGGTTAGTTGTCCTGTGGCATGTGGAATCTTCTGGGACCAGGGATTGAACCCATGTCCCCAGCATTGGCAGACAGATTCCCAACCACTGGACCACCAGAAGAGTCCTATATTTGTTTTTAATTGCTCCCATGGCCAATTACCAGAAATTTAGTGTCTCAGAACACCTTTTTTTTTTTTTTTTTTTTTGAGCTCATGGTTTGTAGCCTGAGTGAGCTCGGCAGGGTTCTCTGCTTAGAGTTTCACAGCCAGTATCAAGGGGTCAGGGGTTGGGGATCTCACCTGAAGCTCAGGGGAGAATCTGCTTCCAGGCTGTTCAGAGTGTTGGCAGAACTCAGTTCCATGTGACTGCAGGACTGAGGCCCCAACCTTGCTGACAGTCAGTCAGGGGTCGTCCTCAGCTTTTAGAGCCACTACACCCCTCCGGTGCAACACCTCCTTATCCTCAAAGCCAGCAAACTCAGGTCAAGTCCTTGCCCCACTTTGACTCTCTCTGACCTTCCTCTCTGCCACAGCTTCTCTGTTTTTAAGGACTTGGGTGGTTAGATTGAGACAACCTGCATCATGCCCCATCTTAGCACCCCATCACGCCTGCAGAGGCCCTCTGCCACGGAAGGGACGTATTCACAGCTACTGGGGATTTGGGCACTGGCAATCGCTCGGGCCACTATTCTGCCCCCAAAGCCTTTGCTATGAGGGAGTCTACATCAATCATGTGCAAGGCCACATGAAGAGGAAGAGACCCCTGGCCACCCCCAACCATTCAAGCCAACCCAGCTGATGTCCCAGATACCACAGAGCATGGTGAAGCCACTCCCACTATGCCCACCTGACTCCTGCCCCACAGAATCATAAAATATAATAAGAAAATATACTATTTTAAGTACTAACTTTTGGAGTAGCTTGTAATACAGCAACAGATAACCAAAATACTACCCTCACTGACCCAAGAGAACACAGACACTTGTCCCAGCAGGGTCTTATCCCCAGGAAACTGACACCTGAATGGAGGTGTATGGTATTGGGGAAGAGTTGCTTAATGGCAAAGTTCTGGAGAAAAGCTATAGGAGTTTTCCCTACTGAGCTTCTTGGAGCTGACTGGGCCCTGCCTTCCCATGGCCTGGCTGTTTAGGATTCTCGAGGTCTAGGAGTTGCCCTGCATCCAGTTACCAATTCCGAATTCCCCAGAATCAGTTGCTTTTGCTTATTTCAGAGAATCTTAACAGAAACATTTGGTAACTATGACCACATCAGCAAGACAGAAAAGGAGCAGCCTAATGTAATGTTAAAAGCATCAGTAGGATGCCTGGGTTCAAACCCTGGGTCTGTCACTAAGCAGCAGTATGATCCTGGGCAAGTCACTTCACTTTTCTGTGACTCAGTCCCCAGGACCAGATGGCTTCACTGGCGAATTCTACCAAATAAAAATAAATTAACATCAATCTTTCTCAAACTCGTCCTAAAAATTGCAGAGGTAGAAATGTTTTCTCACTCATTCTATGTGGCCAGCATTATCCTGATACCAAAATCAAACAAACACATCACAAGAAAAGAAAACTACAGACCAATATCCCTTACAAACACTGATGCAAAAATTCTCAACCAAATGCTAACAAACTGTATCCAGAGTATAGCAATAAGGTTATACATCACGACTAAGAGGGATTTATTCCTGGAATGCAAGGATGGTTCAACATATGAAAATTAAGGATAAATACATATCAATGGAGCATAATAGAGAACTCAGAGCCCTCAAATATACAGTCAAGTTAGTTTGGATAAGGGTGCCAAGCCCATTCAATGTGGGAAGAATGTTTTTTTCAACAAATGATGCTGGTATCACTGGATATGCACAGATTTTAAAAAATGAAGTTGGACCCTTACTTCCCACCATATACAAAAATAAAATGCATCAAAGACCTAAATGAAAAAGCTAAAACTATTAAAACATTCATAGAAGGAAACACAGAGACAAATCTCCATAACATTGTATTCAGCAACTGAATCTTAAATCAGAAACACAAACAACAAAAGGAAATAGATGAACTGGACTTTATCACAATTTAAAATTTTTGTGCATAAAAGATCAATATTGAGAAAGCAAAAAGACAACACAGAGAATGAGATAATTTCAAATCATATATCTGATAAAGATAAAGTATCTACAATATATAGACAACTCACAACTCAACAACAACAACAAAAGACAAATGACCAATTAGGAAAAGAGCAAAGGACTTAAGTAGACATTTCTCCAAAGAATGCACAAATGGACAACAAGCACATGAAAAGATATCCAGTGATATTAGTCATTTGGAAAATGCAAATCACAACTGCAGTGAGATACCACTTCGGACCCACTGGGATGGCTATAATTTTTTTAAAAGGAAAATAAGTGCTGATGAGGATTTGGGGAAATTGGAACTCTCACACATTGGTAGTGGACATGGAACACAGAGCAGTTCCATTGGAAAAGTTTTGCAGTTCATCAGTAAGTTAAAATAGATTTACCACATGTGCCAGCAATTCCATTCCTAGGTATACACCCAAAACAATTGAAAGGAGGTGTTCTTGTACATAAACGTTCATAGCAGCTCTATTCACAATAGCCAAAAATTAGAAACAAGTCAAAATGCCCATAAACAGATAAATGGATAGATAAAACATAATCTATCCATGCAGTGAGATATTATTCAGCTACAAAAATAAATGAAATACTGATTCACACTACAACACAGGTCCACCTTGAAAACACCATGCTTAGTGAAAGAAGTAGGACACAGAATGCCACACATTGTAGGAGTTCATTTTTACAAAACATCCAGAACAGACAAATCACAGAGACAGAAAGTGAATCGGTGGTTGCCAGAGGCTGGATGAGGGGAAATGGTGAATGCCTGCTTTGTGGATATGAGATGTCCATTCGAGGAATGGAAAATTCTGGAATAGTGATGATGGTTGCACAATACTGTGAATGTGCTTAATGTCTCTGAATTGTACACTTTAAAGTGATGCAATGATAATAGGAAAAGGGAGAGAGTGGAAATGGCAAAAGTCTTATCTCATATGGTATTTATGAAGACTAAATTAAAATTGTAGGAGATGACCTTTACAGATTTCTTAGACAGAGTCTGGCACACAGTAGGTGCTAAAGTTGAGAGAGAAAGAGAAGGGAATGGCAGCACCAACCCTGAAAGCAGCAGGAGATGTTGAAAGGAAGCGGAAAGGCTCCCCAGTCTTTCCTAAAGAGGGTGGTCAGCAGAGGTCTGAGAACTCTGCCCACTACCCAAAGGCAAGTCTTCTGTGAGACACAAATAATTCCCAACAGCCCCCAGAACTTGGCACCTTCCTGGGGCAGCCAGCTCAGCGAGCCCTCCAGGATCTCAAGGCAGCAGGGATCTGGCTGTACAAACACGGGGCCACCATACAGACACTCTGCCCTCTGACACCAGAAGAAAAAAGATGATATTGCTCTACACACCTATCTGGGAGCCTCTGACCTACCTGGAGAAAGAAAGTCTTAAAGATACACCACAAGGCCCATACCTGACTCCATCATTCCTCACCACAAAGGCTGTTGACTGGTGGAAGCTTCCCCAGGCCTCCCCAGCCTCCTTTCACCCTACGTTTCTTCCCACCTCCACTGCAGCCACATGGCCTCCTCCAGCAGGTACCCATGCCATTCGCTCCACCTGGAATCTTCCTTCTTCATGTGGCTCAACGCAGTGCACTTAGATCTCAGCTCATAGAGCAAATGCTCATTCAGCCATGTACTGTGCCTGGCAGTGCCCGTCACCTGTCTCTGTGACTTTCAGGATGTCTGCCACCACTCTGAGTCCCTGAAGGCCAAGGGGGACCCAGATTTCTCCCTCCATCCCACTGCCCACATGCTCACCATCGTTGATCCTCCCAGCCAAGGACCCGGCACTGAAGCCAGCAAAGATGACATTGTGGATGGCTCCAATCCTGGCACAGGCCAGCATGGCAGCCACAGCCAGTGGGGAGACAGGCATGTAGATGGCCACTCGGTCCCCTCGGCGGACTCCATACCTCTTGAGTGTGTTGGCCAGGCGGCACGTGGTCTCCAGTAGCTCCCTGCAGCACAAGGGAGGGAGGGCCATCAGAGAAGGGGGAGGGCTGGAACAGTTCTGCAAACTGCAGACACTGCAACCCCAATCAGCCTGGAGAGGGCAGCCACTCGAACATCTGGTGCATGGAAAGATCTTTTCAGAAAACATAACTTTGTAGGCTAGTACTGACATGGATTCATGATCACACTGCTAAGGGAAATCACCTGCCCCTTGTCCACAGAGAACAGGGCTTCTCAGACTTGGGTTATCCGGTCCCCAAGGCTTCTGACACATCCACCCTGAGAGGCCCCAGTTCTCTGGGCCAGCACAGGCCTTGCTGAGCAGGGGACCCCCAACTCTGTGAAGCCACAGAGATTTGGGGAAGGCAGCCCCCACGGCCTGGGGCAGGGCTACGGGGGTGAGGGATGGGAACACTGAACACCATGCCCTCACCTCACGCACCCACGAGGCCCCTGCCTCCACTCCCAGGTTTAGGCTTGGCTGGCCAATCAGAGTGCAGCATCCCCTGAACAAGCTGATTGATTGGCCTGAGGTTTGAGTAACCCAACCCAACGCAGAGAGGATGACCGTCCCCAGGAAACCAGGGGTCTGCAGCAGAACCACGGGTGGGAGAAGTACAGGGGGGCAGAAGCAGCTGCACAATGAGTTCAGCCCTGTTTCCCAAGTGGTCTTGCTGAACCTCACTTCCCACAGGAAGGGGAGTTCCCCATTTTTGCTGCTCTTGTTTTATTGTATGTGTTATTTAACAGAAAGAGCTGGCATGGAAGGACAGTGTGAGTTCACCCCACACACATGGCTCCACCCTTGTGGCCAGGACCCAGGAGTGGTTGTGGTTGCCCCGTGGTCAGAAACCCAGAAAGGGGCAGCCCTGCAAGGGCCACCAGGAAACAAAGGGTGGGTGGCGATAGGCTTTGGGGGAGACCAGATGAGAGCAGATCACTGGTGTAACCAAGCAGAACCTTGTGGGACACACCTCTCCCCCATATCCTCTGCTTTAGCTCCTCTCTGAAACACTCAGATAACCGTATCTCAAACACGTTCCTGAGTTCTCTTACAGAGGCTAAAACCTCCACCAGATGGAAGAAATGAATTACTTGTAGCCTGTAGACCTACTGGAGCCTGAGGACTGATTATGTTAATAGCCCTGTTACCTCACCGTCAACCAATCAGAGAGCTCTGCACAAGCTGGTCACACACCCTGGGACTCCCCTCCCTCACTTGGACTTTAAAAGGCTTTCCAAAAGCCATCGGGGAGTCCAGGTGCTTTGAGCACCAGCTACCCTGGACACCTGCTTGGCACCCTGCAATAAACGCTGCACTTTACTTCACCACAACCCGCTGTCAGTAGGCTGGCTTTACTGTGCACGGGTAAGCGGAGTGACTCAAGCCTGGTCTGGTAACACAAGTGCGGCCTGCACTCTCCCCCAACTCCTGCCCAGACTGGCACAGACCCCATCCCCTCTCTTAAGGCTTTAGGACAAAAGCACCACTCACTGGCACCCCATACACCCTGCACCTGAGCTTGTGATGAAAGAAAGAGCACCCAGAGGGCCCCCAACAGCAAAGGCCCCAGAACCAGGGCCCAGAAACATGCCTCCTGCACGTGACAGCACTGAAGAGGCAGTCATGGTCAGTCACCCAGAAGGTGACTTAAGCGCAGCCCACATGCTATTTCCGACAGCCCTAAGGACTTACACGGTTGGTGCTGAGGAGATGGAGGCTCAAGTGTGTCAGAGATCAGTGTTGATGAAACCTTGCCCTTTTTCTACAGACGGAAGAATGGAAGGCAGCATTTTGAAGTGAAAGAAGGAACAGAACGGCCCAGACAGAGTGGCCTGGGTTACTCTCTACAGTAGCTGCACAGGCGTGGGAGCTCAGCTTTCACAGGCGCCACGAGATCACCTGAGAAATAGCAAGCCCCTCCACCTTGTTGAACTGTTACACGTGTGACCGAGAAGCATCACCCACTCAGGACCCAGCCAAACATTCACTAGAGATTATCTCTACCATCAGGCATCTTTGTTTGAAATTACTTTCTGAAAAGTACTAAAATCAACTCATTCACTTTGGTGAATTCGTAAGATGGTTAAAATTCTGTTCTCAGTACCATGAGGGCAAGCTGGGCACCAGACCAAAGAAATGAGAGGAGAGTGTCCTCTGGCAGCACAGCTCTGATGGGGAAGTGAAGGCACGTGAGAGTGTGAAGGGCGTTCACCGCCTCAGTTTCGGGTACGATTGCTGAGGGCAGCAGGGAGAACTTTCGGGAAAGGTCGGCGGTTGGGGGGAGGAGGAAGGCAGCAGAAGGGAGAGGATTCCTTCTGGCCAGAAGCTGCCTGGTGGCCAGAGCTGGGCAACCGACCTGTGTGGCCCTGGGAAGGTGTGGAGACCCAGTGGCAGTAGACAAGGTGTTCCGTGGAGGATCAAGGGGCCTCCCCATGGGCCCTGCAATTGAGTCCGCTAGGTCCCGCACTCTTTTTTCATATTTATTTATTTTTGGTTGTGCTGGGTTTTTATTGCTGTGCAGGTTTTTCTCTCATTGTGGCGAGTGGGGGCGCCTCTCTAGTTGCAGTGCGCAGGCTTCTCATTGTGGTAGCTTCTCTTGTGGAGCACGGGCTCTAGGCACACAGACTCAGTTGCTCCATGGCATGTGAGATCTTCCCGGACTAGGGATGGAACCTGTGTCTCCCACATTGGCAAGCAGATTCTTTACCACCGAGCCACCTGAGAAGCCTGGGTCCTGCATTCTTGCTGCTGCCTCCAGAGAAGTTTCTGATAAAGAATCTGATCCAGGTAAAGCTCTTGAGTTCACTGCCCTTCCTGTCCTCTCCACCAAGGCCATAAAACTCAAGGTCGAAGAAATCCTTGAAGCCTCCTTGGGGTTCCTGGCCTCAGCAGTCCAGCCTCTGCTTAAACAGGGGCTGAGAGTCACCTGGCACAGCACTCCCTCTTTCTTTGCTACTTTAATAGAGAAATAGTCTTCCTAGAATCAGACCAAGACTTGTGGCTGTTCCACTTCCAGCCCTTGGTCCAGCTCAGGCCTTTAAAGATGTCCAGAATAACTCTGTCGTGCAATAACAGCCCTTCAGATTCCTGGAACACTCCCTCCAACATCCCACAAAGCCTTTCTCTCCCAGCTTCTCTCCCCGAGCCCTCTAGGAACCCACTCTCACACCCTAGAAACCCCCAGGTCACCAAATAGACCCCAGCACTCCCATGGTGTCTGCCCGGGTCAGAATAAGGGAACCCGGACCCTTGATCCCAATTCTATATTTAACCATGTAAATGAAGAACACATTTATTTTTAATGCCTAACACAGGTGGCCCCGATTCAACATGAGGTCATTAACCCACTAACCACTGCCACACCCAGAACAGGACTCTAACCAGGGCTTTGCCCTATCACAGTCAGGGAATTAATTTTCAAAATCAGACTTTCCAGACTATCTATTTGTCCCTATTTAATTCCACCTCAATTTCTACTCATCTTTCCAGCTCACCCATAATTTTTTTAAACTTGAATTTTCATTAACAATTTTCTCCAGACTTACACCACTGGAGAATAAGGTCAGCAAACCTAGATCTTCAAATCACGAAAAAAAGTGTTATGCAAGCGATCCTCCAGGTACTTAAAAATTTACTCCAGGGTACCCAAAAATCATCCAAAAGCTGTCCTTGGATATTCATGACTTCCCAGACTTTCACAAACCAATATTCTGCTTCTGTATCAAATAGATAGTGCAGTCACTCAGTGACCAGTGCTCTGGGCTGTCCCTGCAGGAAACACTGCTTCTTCCTTGTCTGCGGGGTTTTTCCAAGGGACAGTGACATGCAGCTTTCTGAGAAATTACCTAACAAAATAAGTTCGAGTTCTATTTTCCAGTGAGAGGAGAAATACATTATTTGTCAATCAGCTTCTGAACAAGCTATCTACGTTTGTCTGCCAGGAGACGTCTCAGGGCCACGCCTTCCATGTGGAGGCATGAAAATGACAGGCACAAATACACAGATTGGCCTTGTCTTCAGGGTGCTGGACAGCAAAAGTCTGCCTGGCCCTGGGGGAAGAAAGGAGACCTTTCACAGCCAACTCTAAGCTTCAGCTGGGAGGAACGCCCATCCAATGCTAATCTAACCACAAGTATGTGCAACCAACATAATACCTGCCTGAACACAGACAGAAGAAAGCCAACTCTGGTCCAGCTCAATCCAAAACAGGACACAGCTGGACAGACCCGGGGAAGTAAGATAAGCCGTGTGTATGTGTGTGTGTGTATGTGTATGTGTGTGTGTGTCTGTATACGCATGCGTGCACATGTGTGTGCACGCATCCGCACTGCTGCTGTATTTAAGAAACGAATGTGGAACACACAACTTGCTTACTTGCTACAATTACTGTGGCTCTTGTGTTCATTAAACACTAGCTAAGAGGCTACCTCCTTCATTGTCCACCTGCCCCACTGAGTATCAGCTTCCCTTCAGCAGGGATTTGTTCACTGCCTTCCTCCCAGTATCCAGAACCGGGCCTAGGGCAGAAAAGGTGTGTGACAGATGTCTGTGGAATGGAAAAGACCAGCAGGTAAGCCTGAAAGAGCCCAGGCAGGCACAGGGTGACTGGAGCCTGGGGTCTAACTGTGAGCGCAGGTCCACTTGCAGATGCCTCCCAGCCTCCTGCACTGAGAAAGGGTCACATTGGAGGAAACATCCTGCCCCTCAGAGAGGGCGATGGGCAGGACAACCCCACTGATAGGCCAGCCCATGGCTACTCCTCTGTCTACATTTCCTTCTGCCGAGAAGGGAAGGAGCCCAGGGAACGGTGTCACTGGGTGTGTGGAAGGTCTGTGACAGTGTCTTCTCTCCCCTAGCCTGGTGCTGAGGGGAGGGGTCAAGCCCAGGGTCCAGATGCAGGACCAAACAGGACAGGTCTTCCTTCAGTCTGCTTCTCTAGACTTGACTTCTTTGGCTGCCCCAGGTCTTAGCTGTGACATGCGGGATCTTGGTGTGGCACAC